TAGGTCAGTGTAACTCGTTACTGTATTAAGATGTAACAAAAACGTCTTGATTGAATTAGTTTGATTAAAGGCAACCAATATGGCACTCTTCCAAATGTAAAATTATGCCATATGTGGATTATAAATAACATTTTATTCATGAGAAGTTGATTTTTGTATGATTTTGCAAAATTGTTTTGAGGCTAAAAATAAAGTTTTGGTGAATAATAACAAGAGGTAACTCATATTATATGTAGAAGATACACATATGCAGTATATTATATAATGTTACACTGAATTAATGTGATACATAATAAATGCACTAGTACTTTCAGATTTTCATGTGAAGGCATATTTTTAAGCCTACCAAAAAAAAAAAAAAAAAAAGAAAAAAAAAGCAAAACAAACAAACAAACAAAACAAAACAAAAAAATTTAAAAAGTGTAGTATCTCTCAGAATCTCCTGTTAAGCTTCTATGGCAAGCCGTTCAGATTTCCTCTTATACAAGTCTTGGCAAATCCTGTGACGTGTTACATTAATGTCTTTGTTTTGAGTAATTCCATGAATTCTTCATTTGATATCAATACAATGAATTTAAGTGTGATGAAAGGATTTTCTAATTTATATTTTTTAAAGTTCACAGTGGAAAAGAATAACATTATTCTCAGTAACTTATTATTTATACTGTAAAATTTAATGTTGTACAATGTTGAATTGATCTTACAACAGTAAAAAATAAAAGATTAAAAAACTAGATTCATCAAACTTTTTCCAATACCTCTCGGGAAGAAAAGGTATTTATAGAAAGGCTGGCAATAAGAGGAGTAATCAGGCCAATATTAACAATATGTACCATATATAAAAAAAAAGGACGGGTTAAAATGATTTAATTTTTTTTTAATTAAAGACTATGATAGTATTTTTTTTTAAAAATAATTTCAATGATATTTAGAATATTTAGAAGTACATGATTCATTATAAAGTTACAAGTTTTTTCAAACATTGCCAGTCTTTCATTGTATGTAAAACTATACAAATATCAAACCTTGAAGTACTATTGTTGTATTCATTATTTTGACCAAAATTAAATAGGGACTTTATACGGAAATAAACACTCTGTCTAAAATATAACATCATATTTTTTATGTACACATCACCACCACCTAAGAGTTTTGTGGATATACTGGAGTCACCATGCATATCTATTGTTCAGTCTAGCTTTCTGTCTATTTGTAGACATATACAGAGATTATGTCGGAAAGCATTTAATACTTTCAGTTCAAACACAAAATTTAGTTGTAGATTAAAATATACCAACTGAACTTGTGTGACTTGTATTTTCAGATTCATCTGTCAAAATTTTAAAGAGTTGTGTCATTTCAAAAAGATTTTATTGTATATAGCGTCATCGACATAATTAAGAGGAGTGAAACTGAGAACTTTAGAAATGATAATAGATACCAAGGTCATTCGGACAAGGTCAAGGTCACAGGGTAGAAAAACATTAAATTATTAACAATGCTACAAAGTGAAGAAACAGTAGAAGAGTATACATGACACACTTGAGACAAAGGTTTCTTGCGACTCGAGAGTTTCTCGTGACCCTAACCGAGGCCGAAGTTCAAGATCATTTGTTTTAGAAGATCGTTTTAATTCACTTACCTGCTGTTTACGTATTAGAATTTTGAATATTATAACGTTTTTTATCAAATATAATATGTCAAATTTTAATTTCAAATCAAAACGTAAAAATATTACATAATTATATATTGATTATTGTAGAATTCAACAAAGTTCAAAACTCGGAGTAAATGATCACCAGTCCCTCCACAGTGTTAATTCTATATAGTCCAGTTATGACCTCTTTGAGATAAGCTTAGAGTACACACCAAGTTATCGTCCAGCATTAGTATAAACAAAATATACAGTACATGCCTAGAATACTAGAATGCCTAAGTACATATATGCTAAAATATCCTTAGTATTTTTCCTGTGTCTTCTCAATGGTAAGTTTATTCAACTGTTGTTACATGTTTACGAATGCTTTTATTTGTTTTTCTTGATTTATTCATAAGACATAACACAAGGTGATCATTTGTTTTATAATCCAGTGCAGAACGGCCAGGCACACCAACCAAATCAGGAGGCCGTTTTCGTGACGGCTCTGTACGACATTGGTCGGGAAAACTGGACACACTTCCAACGAAGTTTCGATGAATACTTATCTTATTTCAGGAATGTCCTGCGTTTGAATGTAAAAATGATAATATATTCCAACGAATCAGTTCAAAAAGTTGTGTTGGATGAAAGAAAAATTCTAGATCACAAAACACAGACATATATGCTAAAATTTACTGATTTAGAGTTTTATCGATACAGACAGCATATTGGACACGTCCTTGTCTCTCCAGAATTTCGAAATTCCAACGAAATGCTTAATCACCCAGAAGCATTTTCAGTCAAATATTTAATCTTGATGAACAACAAAGTTTCTTTTTTGTCAGATGCTGTAAGAAAAAATCCTTTTAACAGTACACATTTCTTTTGGATTGATGCCGGGTATGGACACGGGGATGATCTTACCAAATGGAAGAACTTTCAGCCTAGAATTCTTTTAAGTAAACGCAACAAGATCACCTATATTGAATTGAACGATCCAGCGTTATATAAAGATATCAATGATCTTCATAAAGTCCAAATGGCACCTGCTTTTTGTGGAGGATTCTTTGGGGGTGATGCTGGGGCCATTTTGAAGTATGAAAAACTCTACAAGAAAACTTTTCGAAAACTCCTCACGGAAAACATAGTGGATGATGATCAGAACGTGGCGTTTCAGTGTTACGTAGAAAATCCCAGTCTTTTTGAAAATATTCGTGGACACTGGTTTGATGCCTTTAAATTGTTTTCGTAAAAGCTGAGAGAGAGAGAGAGAGAGAGAGAGAGAGAGAGAGGACCAACCGGACCTCGCTGTAAAGTTTGATATCAAGATATTAGTACGGTACCACAGAACAGAATACTTTTTATCACATGTGACGATTTTTTCTGTTTTGTTTTTGATTTTTATACATGTATTTTGTTCTTGTGTGTGTGTGTGTGTGTGTGTGTGTGTGTGTGTGTGTGTGTGTGTGTGTGTGTTGTTTTGTTTATTTTGTTTTTTTAAGGATATTTCTTGATGAATATAATTAGGGAGAGAAGAATTGGGCTCTTTCGCTGTGCGTTACTAGTACTTATTACAACTATTGATATTTGTTGAGATGATTTCGACTTTATCATTTACCGAAATTCCTGTTAATTAAAATGAAATATTATTTTAAAAGTAATTTTACTCTAATTATTATCGTGTACACCATAGATTTTTAATCAAATTGAAAGCGTTATATACCTTTTTGAATGAGAGTTATCTTTCCTTTTTCATATTGCCAAATAATGCCTGAAACTTGCATGCCTCGCTTCCCCTATATTCACGCATCTTCTCAAACCTCGTTTAAAGAGGGGATTGTATATTAATGAATATTCCCACAGAAAATTGTTCTAAATGAGAGACTGATCTAGAAATCGAGGTCCACAAAAAAATTAAAAAAAACTTTCTCAAAATGGGGTGGGGGTGGGGGCATGGGTGGATACGGGCGAGGGAAGAGAGTGGCACAATTACAAATAAGGTGATCTAAGGGAATACTACTGATGTTGAAAATCTTCATAATTGAAAGTGAGGTAGGAATCATTATTAACATTTTAATTACTAAATACTATTTCTTAATATTTACACAGTTTTGATTTAAGGTACAGTACTAGTTCGGAGGGTGATCCTCTCTTAATTCGACATTGTTGATAAAAAAGGGGGCTTATACATGTTTTTTACTTGTTTGTTCCATTTGTATTAAAACTTCATGTGATTTATACACACAATAAAATATAAAATAACCTTATAAATATCATTTTCCAAATATTCTTCGGAATGAATCTTTGTTAGATATACCAGAAATTATACTACATTTTTAACAAGATAATGTATATAATTGCCATATTGATTAAGCAACTCACTTTTAAAAAATGAAATTTAAAGATGATTTTTTTAAAACAAGAAATGAATAATTTAGCTCAGAAGATCAAATATAATCAAATTTTAAATATTTAATCTTATTTCTTTATGATAAACGTGATGACTTTAACTTTTCAATCGTCAACTTCCCTTACTTATGCAGCAATATACCTTCATCACCTGCATACGGGGTATATATCTCTCAGTTGATTCGATACGCAAGAGCATGCTCTACGTATGTACAATTTCTAAAACGAGGTAAATTATTGACAAATAAGTTGATGAAACAAGAATATCAGCTGTCTCGTTTAAAGTCATCATTTCGTAAGTTCTATGGTCGATACAATGACCTTGTCAGCAAATACAATTTATCATTGAGTCAAATGCTGACTGACGTTTTTCACACTAATTGTTAGGCCATTATTTACACACTGAATTATCGACGGATTTTTCCGTTATTTTCCGATCATGACAAGGCGGGTGTGACCGGTCGGCAGGGGATGCTCACTCCTCCATGGCACCTGATCCCACCTCTGATGTTTGGAGGTACGTGTTTGCTCTGCTCCTATTTTGTATTGGTTAATGGACTTTTGAGCTTGAATACTGTTCGTTATCTCCATATATTTCATTGTTTTAAAATATTATATAATAATATAATATTATTTAATAATATAATATTATATAATATAATAATTATAATTCCCATACTTGCAGTACCATTGTCTGGTACCCAGCGCAATAATGTGATGGTACGCGATAAGTAAATAAAGTCCTTTTTGACTTTTCTTTGTCGAACATAAATCTGCTATGTCATATTGCACATGCATTTCTATTTTCAAAAAGATGTCAGTACGGGAGCGTCCTCTATCATTTTGGTTTTTTCCGAGAATCCCTTTATTGGCAAAGTTTCTTTTGACAGGTGTTTTGCATTTTTTAAGAAAAGGAGAAAAAAAAGTGTTGATGGAGTAAAACAAAACACTCTTGTTTGTAAATGGTTTTTATTTTATTATGCATTTATCACAAAATGAAATGTATACAACCCACTTGGTTTCTCAGTAAGATAGACCAGCTGATAGTCCGCACGATTAAATCTAGAAAATGAAGATTTTCACACAAAATAAAGCATAAACAATGTTATTCTCCTTAACGAGACAAAATCCTATTTTATGTATTTCCACAAGAATTTGTGAAATCTGTATTGAAAATAGCTCTTATGTCTTTACGGATTTTTCCGTATGACAGCAAATAAATAATGAATAAGCACCCATGATTTAAGTTAAAATGAAAACTTCTGAATACAAAAACCTAAAAATGCCACATTTTTCAAATCAAAAAAAAGTTTAGTCAATGCCCTCTTGTTTGTATATATAAATTTTGAAAGAGATTAAATCAAGAGCATTTTTAAAAGAGACATTCCATATATTCGTATGGGAATCTTTTCTTTTCATTTTGACGTAAACGGGAAGCAAGTTTTTTTTTCAAATACTCCAGATACGAGCATACCTTTTAAATTACCTTAACAAATTGAAATTAAAAAAAAATACAGTAATTATAACTTTGGAAAGTCCCACTTGATATTAAGTTAAGGCATTAGGCAAATACACACTTACTTACAGAATTTACAGTTATCCATTCATCCATTCAAGCACACATATACTAGTATATTAAAGCAATGTAGAATCCATGAAGAACATGGAATTTTCTCGTTTATTATTTTGACATTTTTGGGATTAAAAATGAGAAAGCAATCATGTTTCAAATAGCATGAATTTCTGCTGATTAAGTAAATGCTGACATGTATACTTTGAGTAATTTCTACAGTAAATCTAGTTGCAAAATAATGACAAATGCCTAGTCTTGTCATCCAACATTTTGTTAGAATCGACATAAATGCCGAACAAATGAAATGCTTTACAAATAATCTGCATAAAATCAATACATGTACTTCAAAATTGTGAACATAAAAACGCAATTTCATTGTATAATATAATTTTTTACGCAAAAAATATAAGCAAACAAACTTCATTTAAACTTTTTTAGTCGGATGAAATTTTCAGCTCCTCACAGCTGTCTAAAGACTAGTAGAAAGTTCAGTGCTGTTCTTTGTAAAATTAGAACCCACACTTTTCTTCATGAAATAGATTTTCTGTTTTGGGGTATTACAGAGAAGGAGTCTAATAAATGCACACAGAAATATAAATGCAACTGGAGTCATAATGGGTTAGAAAATGCTTTTAAGATTTAAATATATTTATCATAAACCCCATCATTAGACCTTACATCACAAAAAGGAATTAAAACATCGTGAAAATAAGATTAAAATAAAACGACACAGCAAGCACCATTGAAACGGGATTTCGTGTAAAAATCACAACAATTGATATTTTTATATAAAAGGATTAGTGAATAAATTTCATCCTCTGATAAAGGCAAGACTCACTCTGTTAAATAACACACCATTAGTTACGTTGGTCCCTCGACAATGGAACGTTTTGTATCTGTCGTATATCCATGCAATATTCACAGTCTATAAATATACGGCACGTTTTTATTTTTTTCATGTGAAGCTAACACGAAGTAGAACTGTCTTGCGTTGATTTGGTTGATTGAGATCTACTATCAGTCCCATGGGATGGGGATTCTGTCAATTGCACTTGGTCATAATGATGACTACTACTTTTCTCCGAGGGTGCTCGAATGGACTGACGGAAATCCTCGATTTTATCGTATCCTTCCTCTTCCCCTACTTCGGGAACGGGAACGTCAGTTTGGCTACAAACGCTAGTTGATCGTTGAATGTATTGCATGTTTTGTCTGCGATCAAGAGAAAACTGTCCAGGCGTTTCCTGGGTAAAATTAACTGGACTGTGACGAAATCCAGTCACTTGACATGACCCAATTGTATTATTTCTGTCTGGATATCTCACAATTCCCGTGGTAGACTCCATGGGTCTGTCGGATATAATGTATTTCTCCCTTAATGGAATCAAATGAGCAGGAGGAATAGCTGGATGCTGTGATTGCACAGCCTGGTGGTGGGGACTCGGTCCCTGGACTACATAATGATGACCGGGCATGTACGGAATAAATCCGTGAATACCCGGATGAAAAGTTTCCATAGTATTTGGATGAATGGCCACCATATTCTGATTAGATGTATTTGGCCTTCCTTGGGAGGGTTCAAGAATGAAATAATTCTCGCCTAGTGGAGATCGGCTATTGGAAGGGTTATTGTTAGGTTCGGAAAGTGACCCATTCATTGGTTGTTTTTGACCCGGAAGTCCGTTCGGAGATGAAAGGAATGGCTGTGCTTCATAAGGTGTATCTCGTGGATGAATTTCTTCGTAATGTCGACCGTCATCAACGAATGCCTCCTAATAAATAGAGAGAATTCTGTTACCACCAAATACATAAATTGAATTTGTTGACTGCATCTCTAATATAATGATTTTTATATTAACAAATTTAGTTATTAATTTATTCAAGTTTGTCCTTATAAAAAATGTTATACTGAGAAACGGGCAACCGATAATACGAATTTTGTACACATTCCCGGTAAGTCCCTTGTGTCTTATTGATCAAGAATTTCAGACATTTAATTTTCAGCTATCCAAATTTCAAGGTTTATTACATTTCAGCAGTGGAATATTGTAATTATTTTTTCATTACACTTTATAGATTTTAAGTGTGTGTGTGTGTGTTTCTCATCCTCCCCAAGATAGAGTTTTGTATGCAGAAGTTCTGCCATATTGAATGACTGCTTCATAATAAACTTACATCTCTTTGATATGGGGCGTTCTTCGCTTTCTTTTCTTTGTCCATCATTCTACGTCTGAAAAAGACAAAAAATAAACTAAAAATACACATCAATCATTTTATTCTTTTAAAACCATGTGCAGAATGCGTGTTCGTACACAGCAAAAAAAAAAAAATCACTGCAAGATTGTTAACATTGCAAAAAATCTCACGCAGGTGCGAAAGTGCATCAGAATTAAGAGGAATGCAAAACAACTGTTGAGAAAACACATGAAAAAAAAAGTCATATAATTTTGTAGTAAGTAAATTATTTTATTGTATTTGTTACACAAATTTAAGATTATGACGAATATAGATAAAATGTATATGTAATTTATTAATTCAATCGAGATAATATCAACGCAGAATTTAAATTTAGTGACAAAGCATGATCTTTCATTTTGCGTTAATTGAGCTACAGGTTATACTGTTTAGACATACATGCAAAAAACCAGAAAGCAAAATATATCTCAGAATATTGAAAAGTACAATTATATATTTTATGTGGATTATATGTCCTGGTATATAAAATCAATCGGCAATTTCTGAAACTTTAAATAGTTTTAAAGAAAAAAAAATCCTATGTCAAACGTTGACAAATTAAACTTCGGTTATTTTGCCGAGCAAAAATCACCTGCTAACACGTTAATTTGACAGTTGACATTAGCTTGACTTCACGCTATGGCGTGTTGTGTAAGGGGTCAAAAGTCAATTCCTGATCTGCAACTGTTACAAGGTTTCAACATAGCTCATGTCGATTTCTTCATTTCTTTTTTATGTCACCACATGGTAGACTTGACAATGACGATACATACAGATTATATCTCTGCGTAATTTAAAGCGTGGTTATGAGCAGGATCAGCTATTGAGTACATTAATTTTGGCTTCTGAAGTTTTTATCAGTACTCCTTGGAGTTGACAGAACTACTTAAGGGGTAGGGCGGGGTAATTAGCTGACTCACGAACCCCTTAATTGTTTTCTCGATAATTTGTCACAAATGTTGGATTTCGACTGGTATCGCGCGAGAAATTAAGGTGGTTTACCGTTGAGAGTTTATTCCACACTTTGACAAACCAATAATGCCAACCTTTTAATTTCATTACTAAAATGCATTTAATTAATAATGTCATTACTCATCAACTTCGAATTGCTTGTATGTAAACTTTTGACAGTTATCAAAGTAGACGTTTTGAATGCATACAAATATATTTGACTTGCAATACAAATACATGTTAACCTTAGACAAAGGATGTCAAATTTTCATACAAATGTACAATTAGTTAAATGAGACAATGAAAAGTTTTAACCCTTTCCATCACACCAAAGCACAATAAGTAACTGAACACAATCATACATGTTACAAGAGAAACAAAATATGTTCTTTCATAAAACTTCTTTAACAGACCGGATAGAGTGCTTTACATGAACTCTCTTGACAGAAAGCTTTATATGCTATGTTTAGCTCCTTCCGAGCCATTCTTCATCCGTCCAAAAACGTCAGACTGCCTTCTCTATGCAATCCAAGCGCTGAAAAATCGTTAATGATTTAATTTTGTTCTTGCCCGTAATATCCCTTGGCAATGCAATTTCTTTTATCTAATTATCGGAAAGAGAAGCCCTTAAATGTATGTTTTATGAAAGAACATCGACGAAGAGCCCAAAGTTAAGATGCAACAAAGCACACGCAACAAGTTTTACGTAGATTAGTTGAAGCCCACTACATGGTGATCATTAAATGTGCCGACCCTTTTTATGAAATAATCTTTCTTTTCTTTTATATAAACTTTATATATTTGAGGCAGAGAATTAATAGTTTAACACGTTGGTATTCCTTCTGGACTTTTTTTTCCTAACTAAGAATTACATAGGGAAAAGTGTTAATTATGTTCATAAAAAAATTGTTGGGGGAAATAATCCGAAAATGGATCTTTGAAATAAGATGTTTTTAAGTCAGTTAGTTTTTGCCTTTGATCGGAAAACATAAATTGGTTCTAAAACACTCAATGGATGATGCAGCAACATTTCTAATAATGATTTGTACCAAAAAATAAAATAGGATTGAATAGAAACAGCAAAATTCCCCTACAATACGATGATCTGAATGTAGTATTTTAGTGTGTAAGACGCGCCTGAAGAGAGGTATCATTTTCTAATTATATTTGCAGAGAAGAGTTTTGTAGGTAGATGGGTCGATGGGGTTTGTCTTATCAGTGGTGCTAAAACACGTGCTATTAACAATTTTAGTGACAAGACATTTATTAAAATCATCAGGAAGGCACAAACAAAGATCACCGGTGATATATAATAAACTACTATAGGATGCTTACTCTACTCTGTACCTTCTAACAAACCACAGGATTGCTAGGCACGTCAGAAGAAACATCAGAAAGACTCCACACAGTATCCCCACCGTGATCCCCATCAGACCGTCACTCCAGATGGTTCCGGAGGGGGTCCGCGTCACGGGGTCGGTGGGGGTGGTCGTTGCTGCGCGAGATGGGGTCATGTCCCAAATACTCCTGGGTGTCGTGGTCGTATTTCTCTGAATATTTCCACCGGGAATGGTTTTTGTCGGCACTGGGGCTGGAGTTGTCGAACTTGGAGGGCTTGGTTTTGATGTGACAACTGTTGGCTTGTCTGAAGAAAAAAAATACACATTATATATTATATTACCTCATTCCCAGAAATATACATGTTCATGTAAATGCATATATTGTTAGATAAAAATAACGAAACTGTGAATTTAATTAATGTTAACCGGTCAATCGTTCAGAACGTGGTACTTTTGCTGAAATGAAGAGCAATTTTGCACGCTGTGGCCATCCCTCATTGTAATACAATTTCCTTATTATAATACAATTTAACATGTAGTAAACAGTCCCCATTTGCCCATGTGCACAATGATGTCTAATTTTCAAGATATTGTATTACATTCACTGGGAGAAATGATATAATTTTAGAAAATGCTCTTGGAATAATCCTTCAATGAATTTACAGGTACCCGAGGGAATAGATAAAGGATGTATCATGCAGATAGTGCAATGAACAAGTATATACTTTTATTATACTTTCATGTTAAATACTAAAATCTGATTGGTTTAGACGCATTTAACAATCCGTAATGTTACCCTCAGCGTTAGCAACACACTTGACAACGGGTAACATTACGAAAATATCACATGCGTTCAAATCATGCGCGTACGGTTCACCGTAGAATTCTCAAAACGTCGGTTGTGCGTTTGAAAGAAGCCGAATAAACGACGTCAATAAAAGCTTGCGTCCGATGTAGCTTACTTGAAAACAACAAACGACAGACGAAACATCCTTGCGAGTGCAAACTTTAGATGATAAAGGACTTTTTGAGTAGCAAACAAACAATAGAGAGGTTGGTAAATCTTTTCCGAAGCTTTCTTATTGAGAAAAATAGAAGCGGGGAGTTTGAAAGCTTTCTAAGCGTGAACTTAACGACGATCTCCGAATTTTTTTATGACATCCGAAATCAATAAGACATTCAGCATAATAAAATAAATAGTGCACGTTTTTGAGGGTAACAGTTGAAATTGACACCCCTCGGAAAACCATTGTCAACCTCCGCTGACGCGTCGGTTGACAATGGTTTTCCTTGGGGTGTCAATTTCAACTGTTACCCTCAAAAACGTGCACTATTTATATAATACATGTATATATCCCCTATGATTTGTCTATAACATCTCGAATATCAAATGCTACTATAGTGATGTATTGAAAGAAATTGAATTAAGTATGAGTGTGTGTGTTTTCCCCCAAATTTGAATGTGAATTCATACACATTTGCATATGTGTTAATTCTAACACTAGAACTTCAAAGATTTTTTTTTATCACATGATGCTTCCAAATACCAATTTATTATGAAAATTGTTATGAAAATATAAATTAAACATGCTTCCTAGCTAGATTCAGATCCTCAACACACAATTAAAACTGGGAGTTTGAGTAGCATAAAAGAGAATGCAATGTGGAATTTACGTACTAGTATTTCGGACACTTAGGATGGATTTCTTTATACATTATATATTTTGTGTTATGATACACAGTTTATTGTGCATATATTCTTTACTTTTAAATTTCAACGAAAGTAAAATAAATTCATTGATAGAACATTTACCACTATTGAATTACATGTACATAATTTCTATCTCTCAATCAAAGTGTTTCAGCAGATAGAGCAACAAATTAACAAATTCAATACAGTTACAAGTTACACACAGAGGAAAGCCATGATAAATGGGGATGTTTTCAGTATCTTTCGGAGCTGTTTGTCGATTATCGACTGTTTTTTCTGCTTTGCTAGAAATAGATTCATTAAAGCAATCGTTTGATACCCAATGCAGCATATCAAACTGACTATGGGGAAACCTATGAGGCGTAAGTCGTCAAAGGGAGAGATGGACTCATGTGTCCGATTTCTTCAGAGAGAGAGAGAGAGAGAGAGAGAGAGAGAGATGGGTGGTCATGCTTGGCTTATCAACCTTCATACCAACCAATTACACGTGGCTGAGTTACATGCAGAGCTGGGCACCAGTATTTGCATAAAATTCCTATAAATCATATCTCATAGTTTATATTTGAAATATTTATGTAGTCTACAGAACTTATAGTCTGCAGTGGCATCGGATCGAAAATAGATAGCATATTGCTATCTTTATAAATATAGGTCCAGATAGGAATACATGATTTCACAACGATCATGACACGTGATTGACACCCATGTTTTGTGTCGATGCATCATTGCAGACATTGTTCGAATTTGTTTTCGTAACTGTATAGCTTATTTAGGTTGAACATTTGAACGAATAACGGATTACTTTCCTATCTCTTGACATTTGTGATCAATTTCGCCAGAACTTTGATTAACAGAATCTGCCATATTGTCAGGAAGCTGATTTCAATCAAGAAAGGATTTTACTGTCGCGCAACCATTAAGAGTTTATGTATTGGACGAAACTTTTCAATCGCAATAAAAATTTGCTTTCAAAACATATAACTCTACATATTTTTGTTTTTTCTGTTTTTTGTTTGTTTTACTTTTTTATTTGTTCTTTTTTTTTGTTTGTTTTATTTTTGTTCTTGTTTTTTTTTTTTTTTTTTGGTTGGTAGTTTTTTTTTTGGTTTGTTTAGTTTTTGTGGTTTTTGTTTGTTTGTTTCTTGTTTTGTTTACTTTTTTTTTGGCTATGGCATGCCTCCATTTCATCACCCCAAAATAAATCTTCAAGAAATCTTCACGTAACAATGTAGACACTCTATTCGTTTGACAATAATTGAATCTGCCGAACATCTTATGCATGCTAGGACCAGTGGATTTTTGTACTCTAGATTAGATCTAATCCGTCGGTGGGATGAAGGAAAGGGATAAACTATTTAGACATATATAGTGCACAAGTGACAAAGAAGCTAAATTTTCTCCAGGGAAATGCCATATTGCATTGAAATTAGAAACAGAAGGATTCTTATGAGAATTTACATTAAATTAACTTTGATCTCTAGGCAAAACACGCATGACCATAAAATCTTTATTATTAGCTTCAGTTCAGTAAGCTAATATGCCCAATGAGGAACATCTACTCCGATAACTCAGAAGTTTTACTTTTCGCTGCTAAAAAGAATTAAGGTACATTTAACTGATGTATTTAGAAACTGATATTGTAAAGTCCAGATGTGAGCTGAACCGAAACTACATTACTCATCATTTGTATAAGTAATCATGGACAGACGTGTTCGAATCCCACTGGAAATTTCACTGTTTTGTATGTTATACAAAATCCCACGTTTGTCAAGTAAAAAAAAAAAAAATAAATTACCATTATTCAAATTGCAGTGCTGTTTTAATTTTTTTTTTAAAATAAAAATTCAGGTTAACTTGTAATTAAAACTAAATGTATCTAGCTTTTAACATATTTTAACCATTTATTCGAAAAATTGAAACTACAAACGATAAGGCAATGTAATAGAATGTATTTTGATTTCTCTCAGAAACTCAATCTCGACGGATTATGAGCGAATGGCTTTTATACATATGATTTTTAGGAAATTTATTCAATGTAGAGACAGCACAATTCTTTATGTTCTCAATGAGATATCTGGTGTTTGTCTTCCAGAATATTTTTTATGAAATTGTTTTGTTTAAAGAATGAGTCATTATTTTCTTACAAGAAACTGTAATCCCGTTAGGAGAATCAAATATTCATATCTCAATAAAGTAATAACGATCAAATGTGTATCGTCTACAATGCAATTGGCACCACCAGTCCCATCAACGTGTCAATCGCTCTTCAGCTTCCGGAAATCAGAAAAGGACCACCACCCCTTAGAGTATATTAGAAGCAACAGCGCATCCAAAGCAATTTCACGAGCGTGACGAAGGCCATTAAATCAGGTTCTAACACTCCAAAATGTCAGAAATAAAGCAAATTCGAGATTAATTTATTAATTTTCCAATCATCAGGAATCTGAAATAACTCTAGTAAATGGAGGATTGTGAAAACTTTGCAACAAACGCAACAAGTTTCAAAAGAGAAATCAATAATTCTTCTCCCGATGGATTTACCATTCTTGGTATCCTGGAGGCAAACAAAGTTTCATATTTCATCATCAAAATATTGCCCATGTCAGTCTTATATTATACAAAAATCTCAAAGAAAATAGCCACCACAAGATGTGATCTCTTGATTAATCAGAATATAAACTATATGCGTTCTCAATTCACTAATATCATGAATATCGCTTTCGCAGAATTTCTAAGCAATCAGACATGAAATTTGGTACTATATTTTTTGTAGTTTTATCCCGAAATAAGATAAGCTTAGTTAATATCTACGTTAAAAAGTAGTTCGAATCCTCATGGAGAAAAGCTTGTATAACCTTTAAAACTTCAAAATCCATTGACAAGTTTTCAAAATAATCTAATAGTCTAACATCTTTTAATAGTTGATGTAAATTTGTAAAGAAAATAGAAAATTAGTATCTTGTGACTGCGCTTAACATAATACTTGAATTTTTGTCCAAAAAAAGCCATGCAAATTATCGAAGTTTGTGTGAAAAACTTTCGACACGATGTAAACCTCACCGTTGGCTAGTGCGAGGTGCAAAAATTTTTACTTTTATCTTTGAAGCATAGAGCATTATTCTAATCACACCACTACAAACAAGGTCTTAATAGCAAACATAAACAAACTAGACAATGAGATTGCGCAATTATTGTTGTACAGACGTGTCGCATTAATTGTTTATCGACAGGGGATTAAGATAAGACTCACTGCTAACTCCTGTTGTATTAGTTGGTAAACGAAATGTTTAAATAATTCAGCGGATTTATTACTGCATAGAATCCGATTAACTTTAAAATAATCATGGTCCCCTTTAACGACCAAATTAAACTGGGCCAAACAATTAATGAATGCATTTGGAATTTACAGTTGTCTTAAAATCGGCTTAAATGGTTTAAATTTTTTTATTCTTTGCACAATATGTAATTCGTTTTGACAACACTGTTTAAGGATAATTATTCTAGAAAACATTTGCACGCATATTTTAACCAGGGAGGCATTCATATCCGTACATGTACATCAGATTTCTAACAGGATTCCAAAATGATTCATAGAGAAGCATTAGTAGTTTAGAAGCTGTTCATTGAAAAAAAAAACACTCAAGGGGAAAATATTATATTATTGAGCAAAGTGATATTTAAGAAAAAAATATGACATGGTGATCGTAAATTAAACTAAGAATAAGCTACACAAGAAATGTACAATCTTCCTCTTTAGATTAAAATAATTCTTTTCTTGTGCAGGATACGGAAGTCATAGTAAACGAGTTAGTCTAGGTCACCTACATGTACAAGTTTGCCGCATCGTTTAGTCAAACACTGAGTGGGGGTCAAACGACTTGTGTGACCTAGGCTAATTTTGAGTGCGCACACTTCATGTCTGGGAACCAGATTAAGACAGGCGTAGACAGTTTGGAGACAACGAAGGGATTGGGGGTTGCTTCCTCATAAACATGCTGTTCACTCTGCTATCGGAATGATTCATTAAGTCAGCGTTTGGTTTCATTTTGTTTCATATTCAAACACCAGCCATAAACTAGAAATGACAGAGGGTTTTATGGCGCAAAAAAGCATTTTATGTGCAGCTTACACGCAAGAGTTCCTATTGTCTTTATAAGGATGAGAATGGTTTAACGGGGGTTTACGATGTTCTGTAAAATACCAGAAACCACGTACATCCAGCATTAACTTCTTCTTAATTCATATAATGGGTCATAAACTCGGCAAAAAATGCCCAAATTATTCATTCAAATGGGGTAATCATACGATCTCAGATAATATTCTTTTACCAGATGACAAGGCGCGAATTAGCTTTTCTATCGAAAGTGCCTGCTAAGATTTACGATCAGAGGACAATTCAGATCTATTAAAAGTCGTTGTCTAGCACAGTAAAGTTACGACTTAGCTTAATCAGTTAATTAAGATTTAATCTAAGAATGGTTATGCAGTGAAAGAAATTGGTATTAGTCAATAATTATGAGTGACAAAGGCGGCAATAAAACAAAAGGGGAATTGAAGTTCATACACTTCAAACACAGCATATGGAGTAATGATATAAGAAGGCCATAAAGACAGTACTTCCTATTTCAAAGGGCTATAATTTGTAGCTAAAGCCACAAATGATTCTAGGTGTAGTAATTTGCTTTTCTTATTAAGGCTTTGTTTTTTGCTTCAAATATAAAAGAGAAGTAGATGTACTCTTCCCAGTAGTACATAGGGAAATCTTACTCTCAATTCTCAATTACCAACCGAATGTCAAGCCACATGACGCAGGATTTTCATGATAAGAACTTATTTGAGAATTGCTTCCTCTTTCAGTCTAATTCTCTCCTTGTGAGATCGAAGAACAAAGCAGATACAACTACAGCCATTAATTTGAAGATGAAATTTTTATCATATTTGAACATGTTATAAAGATTTTGTATTCGGTCAAGGTCAAATTTTTGGATTGTCAAGATTATGTATAAGGTCATTTTTTTTTTTATTTTGCAACAGGAGAACTTAATAGAGCCAGTGCATTGTTTCAAAAGCACGTTGACTTTGAACACTGTGGACAGATTTGTCTTTTTGAACAAATTCAAATTTGCTCGCCAGGATTTTCCACACCAATCCGAACAAAATTAGGTCCTGTATTTTTTACAAGTCTTATTTCATTCTTTGATTTGAGCTATATAGAAATTTTTAGCTGACCCCTTTACCTGTATAATATTCAACTTTGTAAATCCCGTTGCAGCCATTGTTGATCCAGATAGAATCCTCTATAATGCCGTAGTCGATCCCTTTATTACACTGCGATCCCGATGTGATGGGAAATTGGGCAATTTTCTCAATGCTTTGGGCTTTTTGGGCGTCCTTCACCTTGCAAACTTTGTAAGACGAATTCCAATGTCGACACTCCATTGTTCTCTCCTTTATTTCCGTTGCTGGGGCATCTGTGAAATCACAATTAAATTAATAACACGTGCATTTTTCCTCTTGTGAAAGTTGAGTTACGAAAAATAATTAAATTTATAAATATACTGTAAATATGGTTACACCATCAAAGGCGAATACTTAAGAATATAAACTCATCATTTTTTTAACGTGTTCATCGTTAAAGTAAATGACGATAATAAAAGACCTACGGTAGATAACTTAAATAATCGTTTCCTTTATACCTAATATTTTTATTAACAAGGAAAAGAAAAAAAAAACATCATAACTTCTGTGAGTAACAAAAAATTGGAGAATTAAATTAGACATAAACCCTTCTATCGTTTATCTTGAAACTCTTTCATCTTGGAATCATAATCTTGAACCCGATGGAATAAACATTTTAAGTTTGAGTCCATGACACCTGAGTATTCCTTGTGGGTTCATTCCTTATAATTATTTTGCAATTTGATTTCATTTTTCGAATGGATTCTTCGGGGCTAATTTCACATCCTAAAACTAATTTAGAGCCCCCAATTACATTTTCTTGTCAAGCTAACGCAATTTTGGGTTTTATACAACTTGCAACCTAACCGTCTAATACCATTAACGGGAAATATTATTCGTAAAAGCAAAACCATAGGATGTCATAATTTTCATATGTAGCAGTATTTCATGTTGCATCTGTCAATTAGCTTTTATTCCACCGGTTGCTTGGGATTCAAGTCGCACAAGTATCGGAAATTGGTCAAATTTTGACAAGATTCATTCGCTTGCAAAACCATTCTCAACACTTAATAAAAGTTGAAGTTTTCGTGCAATGTTTTATGTATAAGGTATTATATAATTATGGTTTGCATTATTTCGTTTCAGTGGGTTTATTGTGTTTTAAGTGAAAATGGAATTTCACATCTAAATCTGCATTTTATCATTTTTACAGTTAAATCGTCAACAATAAAGGACATTAAAACACAAAGCTAGCCTTTAAATTTGATAATATACATCATTATTTGTTAAGTTTTTCTTTTTTTTTTTTAGTTCAATCCTTGTTGAAAATGTAGTCTAGATTCTAGAATTACAGTCACAAAACAGTCACCAAAGAGGCTTTGGATCGGTGTAATTTTTGGGGGAAATTAAAGGGAAATATTTGTACATTTAATATTTTTATTTTTTTAATAGGTAATTGCTTAAATTTTAAAAATAATGATATGATTATATTCCTGGCCTACACCTTACCTCTGGTATAACACACGTGGATCCGCCCGCCGCATCCGTCCTTGACATAAACCGTATCCTTATTGACCCAATAGTCATTGATGGGGCATGACTCCTCAATGTCCATACAGGACACCCATCCCCCCGCGATGTCATCGTTTTGGCAGTCCTGCACGATACCCTTATGTATAGAGCTGCAGTATATGTTGCTTTGTTGGTGGGGACATGTTAAGTTTTTCCCTGGAAAAAAAGAGAAAAAATTATGCATACATCTATCTTTAGTTTCATGATTTACGGGATACATATGAATTTTAGCACAATACTAAAATTAATTTTTATTTCCTCCTAATGTATTAGCGACTAGATTCTATAACCCCTATAATCTCATCATGCATATGTTGTTATACCAATGGACTCAATACATTTCGTTTTAATACCTTCGTTTTAAACTATAAGCACCTCAACAGTCAAGAGAAAAATGTGCAAAGTACATTGTAAGGAGGGAGAACTAACTCTGGTAACAGGTACATAGAGGAAAATTGGCTCCAGGCATTATAATTACAAAAGTATTGCCGTAAATGAACAATTAACTCTGAATAAAAATTGTAAAATGTACAAATGATCTGTCAGTAGGATAAATAGTTCGTTCATACTGATTTTCCATTCAATCTATCGCTAACCGCAGAATTGAAATTAATTGTTTAATTAGGGTGAAAAATAAACTTCTTTCTGAGAGGACAAACTACTTGTTGATGAAATCGTACTTTATGATAAGTAGTCTCTGTTTTTGGTCTTTCATGCTCATTCAAAGGATGTAATTCACTTGTATAAATAAGCTATTTTATACAGATTTCATGTAAATATAGTGTCAATGTACGTCTCCAAAGGTCAATAGTTTTACTGTTGAGTTTATAGCCACTTCCTGTAAAAGGAAACTTATTAAGGTTTCTTTTTTTCATTAGAAAAACATCCTTTGAATGTTTCAGTCAAACTCTTGAATTTATTTCCATTTGGCTTATCAATAATTACATATTCGAGACAAAATTCTTACACACTTCATTGCCAAAACACGTCAAAATGTTTATCACGATTCAAGAAATACGAACTTTTTTGGAGATGGGAATACGAGCTTCCCTTGATAATGGTTCTATATGTTTATGTTTGAACTTTCTTTGTTGCTATGATAGAATACAATCAATGAATTTCGGACAGAACGTCACGCAATGACGCATGCGCATCGGATGCTGATAATGGAGTATCCTTGGTTGTTTCGTTGGAAGATCCAATTAGACACCATTTCTAATTAGAAAAAGGCCCTGATTAAAAGTTTAACGTGAAACCATCATTTTTCAGGTTGTCATCTAAGAAGCACCACATTATTCCTTCTTTTAATTATGCAGCAAGGTGCACTAAATTACGTAAGAATCCTAGCGGGTTTGGGGTATTTATCTAGTATGTTTAATACTACGTGTAATTACAGTACTGTTAGAATCCGTAATTGAGGCACAAAAAGAAGAAATGAACAAGAAAATAATTATATTACTTCCTGTCACGAGTATTACATGTATAAATGGTATAATAATCTAGTTAATAAAGGGTTAGTTCACAAGCGGGAAGATGAGTTTCTGCTTTCAATGTTTCAGCTGTATCACAGTTCAGTAAATTACTTTTTAATGGCATAAGAAGGCTTGAAATTTCACTTATATGAGAGATGTATTATTGAAAAATATATACTCGAGAGTAGTTCGTCTAAGAAAGCGAGTAAAATAGATTTCATCTGGTAATAAAACTATTACTGAAAATTAAGACCAATTATCGGGGATAAGAGGAAATTTTTCCGAGAAAGTTACTCCATTAGATAAATCAAGCTTTATTTATCATCGTTCGCGCGCTGCGGACAGACGACAGATAAACGTAATTTTCCGATGATCTCTATCTACCATCATCAAATCATAAACGAAATTTGACCGTCCATTAAAAACGCAAAAAAGTCCTAAAACCATATGACAAATTTGTCAATAGATGCAAAATTATTTATGACCAATGACAATCCGCTATTTGATTCTCTGTTGATAACGTTTTTGGAAACGTTTTTCTGACGTAGATAAATATAAGAGTCTAAGAGACTCATAAACAATTCATCCCATTCTAAATTGTAGAGATAAACGTTAAGAAAGGCCGAATTACTTGCATAAAAAATCAATAAAAATGAGTTATAACAAAAGTCTGTTCTACCAAATAAAAATTCTAGTTTGCATTTCATAAACTTTAAGAAAATCGAAGTAAAAATTTACCATTGTTTCCAAAGCAAATGTCTTAATATAGAAAAGAACCGACCTTTTCTTAGACAAGTGAAAATACTCATCAGCAAGTGGAATCAAAACTGAAAACACTTCGTTGTGATAAAAATCTACCAAATGAATCTTTTCATGCCAAGAAATTTGTATTGGAAAGGTATCGACAGCAAAGAAACACCTGCTTTATAACGAGGCTAATTTTGAAGGCGTGAAAACAGGAATATCACTACAGCAGCCCAGCTCAAACAAGCACTTCTCTGTTCTTAGCCTGTACTTAATGCAAGCTCTAATCACTACGTACAGACTGTTCTATTACATGTTTGGCTAGACAACTTCAAATTGAAGCAGTTGGCAAATAATGAAGTTCCTTCAATAAGATTCACCCAAAATGAAAATAAAAAAATCTTGAGACGTTTGATTTTTTTTTTTTTATTTATTTATTTATTTATTTATTTATTTTGAAATTCTACTCTTAAAAAAAGAAAGATAAATTATTGAGAAGTTAGCAGTAAGATTATTGATTGACAGTCGTGAAAAAGGTCCCAATATCAATTAACTTTCGTGCAAAAACATATCTGTCATATGCACGTTTTTTGTTACTTGCAACGTTTAACAAAAACATTCATATTAAATCGCTATGAATAGGAAAGTCATTATCGTTGAACCGAGACACGTAATGCCACTATATATTGTATAGAAATTGGAAGTATAAATCATGCAGTTAAATTTTCCCTATCAAGGTGTGAAAGCATCAGGTTTACCTGGGTATGTAAGCAACAAGGTGCCATTGAATATCATATTACAATTTTTATGAAAGATATTGCCTTCTAACGTAACAGGCAAACTTCTGTTAATGGACCGTTTGTGTATTAAATCGGTATACCCTATATACTGTATGATTAAGTGTGATGTCCTGAGACACCTTACTCTGTAAATAGTCTCTATGACAAAATGGAGGACGAGGACAGACTGCAAATAAATCATAAATCTAACTGAAAAACGGGCATACACCCAAATTCCGAGTTCATGATAAAATGGACTTTTCTGACAGTGCTACATATTTTTATTGATTTAAATTAAGTGCGATACCTCATAAAATCATAAAACTTACAAAGCCTTCTTTTTGCGGATCATAAAGTAATTAATACAATGACAGTATAGGGGACCTGTTATCCTGTTCTTTTCTGCATTCTCCGGTTATTAGTGTGTCCCATTATGCGCGTTTCAAGAGCAACTAATGAAACACGTTGATGACTTTTGGCTATATGGGTATTTACTTAGCCAGCTTTCTATGGATGTAATTACGCTGCTTCAATGAGAAATAAAGAGAAGGACGTTATTATTGCTTGGACTCTCTCATTCAATATATAAACCTGGTTCAACAAGAAACATCAATACGAATGCATAGATAAAAGATCGCAGATTGAGTAAAGAATCGGGATTTTCAAGGTCCTGGTAGATTGTCCATGATGAATTTAATAATGTCGTGTAGTTTGTCGTCAAACAAGCAGCGAAGTAATCATAAATTAATATGTTTCTCAAAATGAACGTCATTCAAAATAGAGATGACTCAAATTAGAGAAAACGAACCAATTCAACGCCATTTAAAATATTTATACTCTATGCAACAACTTTCGGTTTGGCTAGAATAGATTTTTTTCCCAAAAACACATTAAAATACAAACATTCAGCCGAACATTGGATATTCCAGTAATGGACTCAGATTCAGGTATGAAACCTCAAGTAACGAAAAGGTGAGCACACTTTTGACACAAGTGTTCAATAAATACCCCAATAATAGTTTTAAAAATTAGCAAGGAATGATGAATCCGACATATTTTCATTACAAGTGACTATGAACAATTGATCATCAGCAAACATACATGTTTATACACACTTAGATATTCTTTTCGAAACAATCGACTGTGAAACTGAGTATTTACACGGTTCTCTTATCTTCAAACACTCATCAATTCATAAAAACGTAAATTCAACATTGGACATTGATATCTATTGTGTCGAATTATCGCCAGCTGCTTAAATAAAGATTTTTGTAAAATTTAAAAAATGGCAAACATAACATAAGAGCAGGCTAATTACCACAGGTCCACATTGGTTCCGTTTTTGATTACTCCCAAAACAAATAATGAAATAATCCCCGTTTGAACTGAATTTTAGTCACAATTGGTCCTCTTGTGGGAAAGATCAGAACACGAGTGTGTCACAACGAACAAATTTTCATTTCACTTGTCATTCCTCAACATCTTGCCAATAATCCTCTTCTAGTCTCAAGGAAGAATGCTCTATATCTCTACACGGGGTACGGTGTAGGGTCCACGCATAAATTATCACGCATTATGACTGTTGTGATGCAAATTTGTTCACGACTTGAAAAGTGTTTGCATCCAATTGCCTTTTTGTGGCAAACAATGCACAGTTGTGGGGAAATAGAATATACAGCGATTATTGGACTAGAAAAACATTAAAGGCGTCCCATGCTACAAACGTTATTACGTGTCGCTCGTAAAATAATGTCAATAAACCATAAACTTGAGAAGTAAATGAATCAGAAGACTTACTGATTGTAAATCTTTAATATATTGCAATTTAAATTCAAACGATCGAGAAATTTCACATTTGTACCCTTCTCAAATTACATAATGAATTTCGAAAGTCAATAAAAATCTTTCTAGTGGTTTAAAAGGAGCGTGTAAGTAACAAAAAGAAATTGAAGCTTTTGGGTTATTTTATCTTGGGTCATCAGTAAAATTTACCCACTTCCTATGATTGCTTTAAAATAGATGATATGTTCATTGTGACCTTTGAACCTTAAGTTCAAACCACCTTTAATTAATTTGATTTAAGAACAATATATTGTATTAAATAAGGTCAAGTAATAACGGGAATTATATCTAAATCTGACTTTAGGGTGAAAAAAGGGTC